GTCTTTATGAACTCCATAGTCAAAATGTACAAAACATATTTAAATATCAGTCAGGGTGTTCTATTTATATCTTGAAAAGGATCAAAGCCAACATTAGAATGTTAGGTCTCAGTGAGTAAGCTAAATTCTGTTGGAACATCCATGGAAACTTCTGGTAGATTATACAACCCACTACCAAATCTTGTCATAGCTCCTTTGACTCAGCGAACACACATTTAGTGTCAGGGACTGTGGAGACCTGGGGGTACAAATATGAAGACGATGAAAATCTACATTTGCAAAGAGTTCATACTTTGTTTGTTATAAAAGTGGTGCTATTCCCTTGAAGTTCTGGACATCTGTGGGAGAGTTCTGTTGTTAGGAGGGCTGTGTTCTGCTAGGTGTCCTGAATGATCAAATAATCAACAATAAGCCCGTGTCACCCTGGCTAGGTAGCTCAGGTGATTAGAGCATATTCCCAATACCCCAAGGTTGTAGGTTTGATTCCAGGTCAGGGCATATACAAGAATCCACCAATGGATGCGTAAATAAAAGGAACAACAATTTGATCTCTCTCTCCCTCCCTTCATCCCTCCCTCCCTCTCTCTCTCAAATTAAAAAAAAAAGAATTAACCCATATCACACACACTTTCAAATGTCCTACTGACAAACCTATTTATCATTATCTGAGCCTAGATTTTAATTCCATTTTATATAGACATAAAGTGGTTTTTGCATGCTTTTGATACATACTGAATTTTCCCAGAATCAACAACATAAAATTTGTAGAAAGTATTTTGTTTTGTCTAAAATTTTAGTAAAATTTGTCTACCATTTCAAAACAACATAGCACCAAAGCCGATGCTGATCATGGCTTTGAGCCCAATGAGACATGATTGGGGCTCAGAGACTGGGGTCTCCAGTCTTTGTTCCTAAATGTACATAAAGCTGCCAACATGTCATTGTTTCATTATGTCTTCTAGTGAAGCTTATTTTATTATAAGTTACTTTCCTTTTATTTCTCCCTTATAGTATGGTTATACTGGTGTATTGATTTGCCAAAATTATGTATATAGGTAAAATATATATACTCTAAATTATATTTAGAAATATATAAATTATATTTATATATTTAAGGAAGGTAAGGGAGTTGTTACAAAGGATTTACTTTAAAAGTGCTTGGGAGAAGTCTGATATGATCGAGATCCACTGTCCTCCAAGGTAAAACATACATAATCGCTGATACTCTTCCCATCTCTGCTCTGTAGCAACAACGTAAGGGATAGCCAAGCATCCTTAGGCAAGGCCTTGAATAATGCAAACATAAACTTTTATAAGATTTCTTTTTTCCCATCTATTTCCCAGTCCTCTTTTTTGGCTACAAAGGGGAAACTCAAGCTAAAGGAAATGCTGTTGATTAATGAGATGCTAATGGGAACAATGCTTTTCACAGAAAGCTCTCAGAGACGGGAACACGCAGGCAGGGGGCTGAGGGTTCGAAGGGTTGCTTAAAGCAAAAGCCAGGAGGCAAGCCAGTGACTGGGAGAGCAGAATATTTGAGGGTGTGTTGAGTGTTCCTGTGACAGACACTGCCACAGCCCCCTTCTAGACTTAAGTGGATACGACATCTGGCACAGAATGCCTTCTTCTGAACCCATGGAATTTGACAACTGTGGTTTAAGCCTGAGAAGTAAAATGAAAGACCACATTGAAATTAGGAATTGTGCTGGAGGTTGCTAGGCGACAGAGGCCAGGAAGGTTGCTAGGGACAGGGATCAGGGCTGTTTTGGATTGCGTATATGTCCAATCCTCCTAGAAACTTCACAGTGATCATTCTCGTAAAATAAATAAACAAACAAACAAATATATAGGCTAGTGAAACACACACACTCAAGGAAGGGAGGGAAGGAAACCAAAGTAAATAATAGCAAAACAACCAAAAAAATCTGAAAGAGTATTAAGAGTATTGTCCCGAAGGAGAATCAGCAGATCAGGCAGTTGTTCTGAGAAAAAAAATAGCTACTCCCTCCTACCCTTCTCCTGCCTCCCCCAAGTCCTGTTATCATAACATTCATTCAGAGCTCAGCACTGAGAAGGCCAGTGGATGGTCCTAGCATTCATGATGGAAAGTTTCGGCCACCAGTTAAAATCTAGACCAAGGCCAGGATGTTCCCAGTGGTCCCAGGGCAACCATGAAAGAAAAGACTTGGTCATGTGACTACCTCACTTTGCAAAGAGGTGCTCTGCTTAGTCCCATTAGTGAGCACTCCAGAAAGCCCAGGACCGTGGCATTAACCTCAGTGGTCACACCCCTCACTACTTGCCTGCCAGCATACCCTCTGCTCTCATGAAAGAGTCCAGAATTCTACTTTGCCACAGAATGTTATTTCTCCTGCTTAGGTTTCAGGACACCCTGATTTTTATCTCCAACAAGGAAACCTTCTACTCCTCCTTCAAGGTAATGGTGAGTGGCCCTTTCTCCCTCCTCAGAGCATTATTAACACTTAATGTAAATAATTCACTTGGTTCTAGATTGTCCTGTAGTTATCGATGAGCATAATGCTAGGAGCTGGGACTAATATAAAGCCAGACCTTCATGTGGTTATCTAGCATGTGTGCATATCATTATCTCTATCTTCAAGAAGAGAAAACTAAAACTCAAAAGAGATGTAACTTGTGCACTGCAATGTATCAAATAAGTGGTGGTACTGGTATTTGATTTTGGTCCACCTGATAACCGCTGCACTGCAATTTCCCTTAGAAGTCCTAGGGAACAGGATCTTTTCTATTCCCAAGTTACCCAGCACTTCCGCACTTGTTACTCTCGTTACCTGTACAATTGTCCGACATCTGCTTCTCCATTAGTCTGTGAGGTTCATGGCACAGGAATGCCCCCCCACCCCCGTCCCTAGTGCCCAGGAGCATGCCTGGTACAAAGTATTAAATATCTGTAATGCTTCCAGATCCTAGAACTGCACCTCAGTATTTACAAAAGGGCATTTGGGCTCTTTATGTGTAAGTATAAAGTGTCCGTTTCCAATCATTTCTAAAATAAAGTTCACCTCAGAAACTTCAGAAAGGGAAAGGAAAGTCTTTCATTTTATTTAAAGTATTTACTATGTTCAAGATACAAAGCTTTCTCTTTTGATGATGCCTTATCATCCATAATTAGTATTATTTACATACATATTTATCTTTCCAAACAGACAACATATAAAAACATTTGTCTACCTATTATTTAGGAACACATTATTAAGTATATATAGTATTTAGTAGAAATTCTGAAATGTAATTCATTGACAATATGTATATCATTAATTAAATCTTTGACAGAATATAAAATGCTAGCCAAAAAAAAAAGAGACCCCCCATATTAATAGCAGGATTACTTACACTAGCCAAAAAACAGAATAAGTAAATAAATTATGGTGTGCTCATACGATGGAATACTATACAGCAATAAAAATGGATGAACTACTGTACATCCAACAATGGAGATGATCTTACAATAAAACTTTAAGTGAAATTAGCCAGACACAAAAAAGTACATGAAGTCCATTTATATCAAGTTCAAATACAAGCAAAACTCATCTATTGTGTTAAAAGTCAGAATATTGATTACTCAGTCCATGAACAGGGAGCAAGCCCAGGAAGCTTCTGGGGTGCTGGTAATACAGTGTTGCTGATTCAGGTGCCAGCTCACAAGTGTTTACTATGAAAACTGCATTAGACATTATAATTTGTGCAATTCTCTGTGTGTTATATTTTAATAAAGGTTTATTATATTTTATATAGTATTATATAAAATTCTATTTTATATAATTGTGTTATATTTTAATAAAGGTTTACTTTGTAAACCTTCCTTCTCATAGCATCCATATTAGTGAAGACAAAAATTAGTAGACAAAATTAGTAGACAAAATTAGCATACTTATATGTGGACTCCTGACCAGCCTACCTTTTCTTTAGTAATTTTTCTATCTATTTATTATTTATGTATTTATGTTTGTGTATCCCAGGAACTAACTGGAAGACTTCCTAGCCTTCCATTCACTGTGGGTTGGGTGTTGAAATTTCAGCATTTACTCCAACACGTCCAAAATAATATATAGTTTAAATAGGGTTTTCCTATCCTATTGTGAATGTCTGACTCATATCTCAATCTATTCCTCGCTGTAGTGTCATAAAGGAAATAAGCCACTGGTCATAGAATAATCTTCAGATTATATTAACTTATTGGTCAAATATTTCTTTAAAATTTTTTAAAGAACCTAAACCAAGTCACAGAGATTTCATTCTGCTTCAAATGATGTTGAGAACTTTTAGCCCTACATAGTGCTCAATTTTAATTATTTAAATCTATTTTAGAACATAACTAACATTATTCCACCAACATTGCCCCCATTACATTGGAATTGAGAACTGGAATAAGCCATTCTAATAATAAAATTGTATTAAGGTGTTAAATTGCAGTTAAGCAGTGAGTGTGTGTGGTATTTTCTCTTGGGCCAATTATTCAAAGTTTCCTATAACATTTGCTTAAGTGGAGAATGAGCCTAATGCTTTATCTATCATATAACTGTATCCAAAGTTTATTCTAACTATAACAGTTTTCAATAGACTGACATCTCCCAACTTACTCTGATTCTAAGGGACTACTTTATTGTTGATAACAAGATGACCAATTGACTAAGCAAAGATGGTATGAACTGCAGGAGGGCATTAATTTTCTGAGATGAAGAAAGACAGTCAATAAAAAGGATGAAAATCATTCAGCTAGGAAAGGTCTACAGCTCCTCTCTCTTCCATAAACCTAGCAGGATCTTTCCAACGTGAAGGGACACCCATGCACATTTAGCTGGAGAGAGGTCTCTGGTTCCAGACTGAACCCCAGTCTCTCCTGGGAGAGGGAAGGAGTTGAGCGTTGAGCCCCCCCATCCGCGGGGAGGTCTGGAGGCCAGGAGGCAAGCAGCCACCCCTGGAGCCCGCCAGCACCCGCGTCTCCCGGGCAAGGGACTTACCACAAGGGCGCAGCACAGCAGCTTGTTCATTGTGGTCCCCGGGAAACCTCAGGCGCTCGGAGGCGGTGGCGGGGCGAGCGCTCCGGTGAGTCTCCGCAGCCGGGGCCGGCATCACCTTATATATAGTGTTGCAACAGGAAGTATCGGCCTGGCTTTGATCATTCAGGCCCTATCTGGACAAAACTTTGCACCTTTTTTAGGAACCCAGGGCGGGAGCGGTGGGGGCGGGGGACAGCACGAAAAGCTCCACACTCCTGGGTTAACGCTTTCAGAGCCGGGCCGGGAAGGATCGCCCGGGGAGCTGGGCGTTGTGGCGGGGGTGGGGATGCCGGGCCGGGAGGGGGAATGCCCTCGGGCTGCCGAACAAGGCGCTCCTGTCTCCGCGGCTCTGAGGTTTCCAGGCCCCTTCCCGCCAGCGGGCGGCCTCCTGGCAGCCGTGACCAGCGGTGGGGAGGCTGGGGAGCCGCTTGGGCTCCTCCACCCTGACAGTCCCCTTCAGCCGAGATTCGGGCACAGCCTGGGGTGCGTCCCGGACACTTTATCCCCCTCTTGTCCTCACCCCATCTTCCGCAGTTTGAGAGATCCGATGGCAAGGCCTCTCGTTTATGCCCCACGTCGTCTCAGAACACAGGGAGTTTGTGATCGTCAATCCCCAAGGGTGCATAGACCCCATGCAAGCAGCTTCTCCAGCTTCTGGTTCTAAAGCTCACGTCTTCCCCTCTTCGCTTCTGGCTTCCTGGGGTGGTTAAAGCTGGAGGGGATCAGCGAAGGGAAAGGAAAGAACTTGCAGGTAGATACCCGGGCTGCTTGGTCCACCAACACCTTTATCACTGAAGGGCTAGCGGGACCTTGATGTCCTAGTACTGAATTTCTGGAATTGCCACTTCGGGGTTGTTCAACTGTCCCCAAGTTATGGGCAGAGTTTAGTGCTTTCCTAAAGGGTATTTCCCTTCCCCATCCTCTCCCAAAATCTGCTTGTCTGACAGTTGGACCCAGTGACTTCTAAAGTGAAGTCCCACCCTGGGACCTGTGATTCATCAGTTCGTTCTTGAATTTTCACCAGAACTCTCTGCTTACAGATGCTGGAGACACCACTGGAGAGCTTGCTTCCCCAACGAGGCCAAGTGTTCAGTTACATGTCTCTTGAAAAGGGCACGTTCTGCTCTTCACCAAGTTCAAGGATAAAAGGTGAAGAATCGGGAAAGGGGGCAAGTATGGCCAACAGGGATCAGAGCTTCTGCCCCTTCAAATGGGCATGGTTCCCTTAGGGTTCCCAAGTAGATCTGTAGACCAGTGAGAAAATATTGATAGGAAGAGAATGTCAGCCTTCTGCTGTGATTGTGAGTTTTAAAAAGACAGAAGGTCTTATTCATCGTTCTCTCTCCAGTGCCAGAACGCAACAGCATGCTGGTTTCTTAAGTGACCTAGTGAATGAATGAAGGTCAGTAAGTGAGGACAACGCTGTATGACTCCAGACCTGCTCCTCAACTTTTGAACTTCAGTTTTGGCATCTACGACCCGCCCTACTAACACTTAGACTCAACGTGAGACTTTGAATAAATTCAGATGTTAGTAGTGAGACATTATATAAATGGCAGTAGTATTGTTTTTACTAGGGTAATGTTTGTCCAGGATATCATTTGAAGGCATTTTTCTCAAAGCATAATAGTGTCGATGTAAGAAACATCCAAACGTGTGGAGAATTTTTATGAATTTATGTGAGCCAAACTGACAATTACCAGGAAGCAACATCTAAATGGATTGAAAAAATGCTCTGGAGAATGGCAGTTTTGCAGTTTATTTTATACATTAGAATCAAAGGAGAAGACATAAGGAGGGTTACATGAAAACTACTGATGGTAGGTTAAGGGGGTGGGAAAAAGCAAAGCAGGGGAATCTCTAGGATTGGATGAAAAGTAAAACAGAGACACATACTTCTTTTACATTGGTAGGTTGGGATAAACACAGCCCTCGGAGATGGTCAGCAGGGGATAGGAGAACAGTGAGGGCTTCTGTGGACTACAGCGCTGGTGGTGGTTCTCTGAGGGGTCTGAAAAAGAAGATGACTCTGACATTCCGAAGATATGTTATCTAAGATGAAAAAGACAATATACATTCCAGCTAGTGTGGCTCAGTGGATTGATCCCATGAATGAAGAGATCTGGGTTCGATTCCTGGTCAGGACACACGCCAGGTTTGCAGGCTTGATCCCCAGTAGGGGGCATGCAGGAGACAGCTGATTGATGTTTCTCTCACATCAATGTTTCTATCTCTCTTTCTCTTCCTCTCTCTCTCAAAAATCAGTATCAATAAAAAATAAAAAAAACATTATACAGGCTAGCTTAAGTAAAAGATTGACCTCTGTCAAGGAAGCTACAGGCCTAGGACGAAACTACCACCATGACCCACTTCCAGGTAGGAATTTTTAGGTTGACCCATCCTGTGTGGTTACTTTCAGTCTCTGGGTTTGTAGGACCCGCCATGCAGGCCTCCCCTGAGCTTGCGGGGTTTAGTATGTGGCCCCTTCTTCATCTATAGTAGAATGCCAATACACAGGAGCCACACTTGGAGAAAACTGACCAAGGTTTGAATTTTTCAGTAGTCACCCAAGAAAAATCTCATGTCTCACTAAGCCTCTGTTTCCTCCTCTGTTAAATAGAAATAATACCGATATAACAGAAATGTGGGAGGGAACAAATGGGAGCATTTATAAATAAAGTTAATCACTAATTATGAGCATTAAATAAACTCGTCCATGTACAGTAACAACACAGTGGCTGGCTCATAGGACATATTTACTAAATTATATCTATGATTGCCTAGGGCAGCAGTTTTCAACCAGTGTGCCCCAAGAATGTTTAAAACATGCAATACCAAACAGTTTAGTCAGGGGCACTGACATCTTTTCCCTTAGACTGTCAAATTTAAAAAATGACGACGACCCACATAACAACCGCTGTCTGGTGTGAATGAATCAACATTATACCTACTTTTTTGTTAGAGAGGTAAAAATATCTTTTGGGTGCGCCGCAGACTTCTAGTAATTAGTGTATGTGTGCCATGAGATGAAAAAGGTCGCCCGCCTAGGGGAGTACCTAAGATACTGATCTTGGAGCTAAACACAGAGATTTGAACTCCGGATCGACTACATCCTAGCTTTGTGGCCTCAGGCAAGTTTTAGCTAACCTATTTGCGTTCCTGTTCGGTTCCTTTATCTGTATAATAAGGATAAAAATTATACTTGCTCAGAGAATTATAAAGGTTATAATGAGGATTACGTTGGATAAAACACATGAAGCACTTAGAATGCTGTCTACCACACACAGTGAGTGATCATTAACTGCCCCTGATATGCTTGTCTCAGGGGTGTGAACACGAGCCCAAGACGGAGTCTGGATTCCAAGCTCCTGAAGGCAGGAATCGGGTGCTTTCCTATGGTGTTTCTTGAAGCATTTATTGATTAATTGATTTAAATATTTTTTCTTTATTGATTTTAGAGAGAAAAGAAGGGAGAAAGAGATAGAAACATCAATGAGAGAGAACATCGACTGGATGCCCCCTCCCTGCCCCCCACTGGGGATTGGACCCACAATCTGGACATGTGCCCTCACCGGGAATCGAACCGGTGAGCTTTTGGTGTGTGGGTCGATGCTCAACCAGCAAGCAACACCGGTCTGACTTCCTTGAATCTTTCAGCTCAGCCTTCAGGCTCTTGTAACTACTCGGTAAATACTAATAGCAAGAGTGGTGGTTGGTGTATGTGTGTGTGAGAGGGCAATTAGCTGTAATCTTGAGAAAAGTTGAGACATCATTTATCTAGAACCACAAAATAGACTGTGCATTGATGCTGTGTCTCAGGGCCTCACTGTAGGCAGTTTATTAATCACCCACTGACAGGAAACGGACAGACACTGTGAGTTATCGGTCATTTCATTTCCTGGAGCAATCGGCCAATCCCCTGGGTCTTCCCGTGGGACGCCCTGCTGTGGGCTGCACCCCTCAACACTCTGAAGCTGGAGTTCATCTTAAGCTTGAATTGGAATGGACCCAGAGACTCCTGACGGAATCCACAGGGGGCCGGCTGAACACTGACTTGGCAGACTACATTCATCTTCCTGTGACAGATCCCTCATTGGCAGAGGCCATCGGTGACATTAAACAATGTCTTGTCCATTTAACCTTATGTTTCTGGGCACCAGCTATGGGTGATGTTGACTTTCCAGGTGACTCCTCATCTCCCATTCCCTGAACTCTTCTGAGTGAGGCCCCAAGTGAGCACATGTTCACTGCCCGCATTTCTGATTCAACTCGCCCCCATTGCAGCCACTCCTAAGGCTTAAGGAAGTGGCGCCTGCCTATTGGGAACTCCCACGAAGAAACACCTCCTCTCCACAGCACGGCAGCAGAGCACCTGGTACGGAGGGGCATTTGCAATCATCGTGGGAACGGAAATGCCTGAAACTCGGGACAGGGGTTGACGTAGGTCATTTGGGAGACATGGGGCTGATCAGGGGTCTGGGACATCTTGTACCTAAAGCTCCCCCACCTGGAAATTGGAAAGACACCTTCTGAGAGATCACGATGGCGAAAGGCTATTAACTTGCAGAGCATATTAACAAGAGCATATTCCTGTTACTGCACTGCTATGAAAACGAAGCTTTTTCTGATTTCATAGGACAGTGAACAGAAGGAAAAGACGACAGCTGTCATGCACCTCGTCTGCTGATTTTCATTTGTTAGATGAACGTTTGCCAGTTTCTTCACTGACAGACACAATTTTAACTGTATTAACATTCTAGACAAAAGCTAGTCAACTTATAAGGGGTGGTAGACTATGTCCAGAAATGGATGTGTACTTGCTTTAAAAAAGTAAGGTACCGAAGGAAGGTTGCAGAGCCGAGGCAATTTCTGGTTGAGTCACCAGCTGCTTCGGGATCTGTTTGAAAGTGTCAGGCCAGGGGTCAGTAGGTGCTAGTTCTGGGTCCCCACGCTGCGGCTGTGTGTCTCCAGCATTGTCACTCAGCCACTAA